ATACTGAACACGAACTGCATAACCGTGTGACTTACATATTTCAGAATTTATTAAATATTAATTTGGAAGAGTATATAGAAAGTATAAATAGACTTGGAAAGAAGGGAAATAGAAGACCACTTGTTATCGAACTAATAAGCAAAAAAAAATGGTTAATTAAATCCTTGATAAGAAATTATATTTTAGAAATACAGGACTTGCCATCACTGAACACCTGGACGGAACTTCACGCCAGATACGGAAAAAGTTAAGAAATTTAATGCATGAAGCCAGAAAACATCATGCTATACTGAGGCATAATATACTTTTGATTAACGGCAAGGAATATAAACATACTAATAATGATGAGTCACATGTCGACGTTGAAGTGAATGATGCATCGAAATCAAGAAACACTGAAAGTGAGAAAACGAATCGAAGATAATATAATAGTTCGAAAAACATAAATAAAGAAAATTATAACTTTCGTGAGCAGCGCAGCACCTACTTTTAACATTATTTTTCAAAACATGCAAAGCTTACTTAATAAGAGAGATTTATTAGAATCGTTCCTGGATAACCACAAAAATGAATACCAAGCAATTTGCATCTCCGAAACCTAGCTTACAAAAAATAAGGCCTCACACGTGCAACTTAGCGATTACCACTTGGCTGCAGCGTTCCGCGGAGAAAAATATATCGGCGGCGGTGTGTGCATATTACTAAAAACAACATCGAATACGTTGAACGAACGGATATCATGTACATGTCTATTGAATATATTATTTAAGTTTGTGCTGTTGAACTTTCGGTATTGGATATATTGTTAATTACATTATATTTGAACAGTAGAGAGACAGACATATTTTACAGTCAATTAAATCAAATTCTTCAATATATCATAAAAAATATAAAGATAAAAAATTATTATTGGTGGCGATTTTAATGAGAATACATTAGTAAAATCAAAACAATCATCAGAAATCTTAAATACCATGTTAGAGTCAAATTTTAAGCAACTTATGAAAGAACCCACAGACCTGGAAAAATGTATAGATTTAATATTTACAAATTTCAGTCAAAAAAAAGAGTTAGGCTTTTCAGACCACAAATGTGCAATGCTACAATTAAAAAATGTTACATCAGAACAAAATAACAATCCTTATTTTTATATATGTAAAAGAATATACAATGAAAATAATATAAATAAATTCAAACAATATTTACAAAGTACAAACTGGCAAAAAATCATTTCTAATAATAAAACTGTTGACGGAAATTACAGTTCACTAAATAAAATTTTACACGATGCACTAGAATATTGTATTCCATATAAAAGATTAAAAATTTATAATAAACAACGATATAAATCATGGCTAACATACGGTGTTAAAAAATCTTGTAAATATAAAAGATTACTAAAAATTCATGGTATGCATTCGAAAAATAAAATTTTACAAAATTATTACAAACAATATGAAAAATATTTAAAAAAGGTAATAATAAAATCAAAACCAATACAATCAATTAAAAGAATGAATAAAGCAACTAATAAAATTAAATGTATGTGGCAAATGATAAATGAAAAAAAAGCATGTTAAGGTAAATAAATATAATGAAAATATTAAATTGCATATCAACAATAAATCTGAAGTTTCTAATGTTTTTAACAAGCTGTTCGCGTCAGTTGGTAGCGGCGCGGCAGGTAGTGCGCTCGCGCCACGCTACCGCCCGGTTATGCTCCTCCTGCACTCGATGTTCTTAACCTCAGTGGATGAACGAGAGGTAATGTCATTGGTGCGACAACTAAAATTAAAATCTAGCTTCGGTGTTGATGAGCTGCCGTCCACTCTTATTAAAAAATGTGCCGAAGAAATAGTTCCGTCGTTAACTTTAATTATAAATCAATCCTTTTCTGAAGGTGTATTCCCTGACCTACTAAAAATTGCTATTATAAAGCCAATACATAAAAAAGACAAATAAACGGACCCCAATAACTATCGACCTATTGCACTCTTAAACGTAATTTAAAAAAAATTTGAAAGAGCTATGTTCAAACGATTATACTCATTTTGTGAAACGTACAATATTTTCGACGACGCCCAAAATGGTTTTAGAAAATACCGCCCAACAACCCTAGCCGCATTTAAATATATTAATGAAGTCTTGAACATATTAAACGATCAGAAATACGCAATAGGAATTTTATTTGACATGAAAAAAGCATATGAAAAAATTAAATATGACATACTCTTAAATAAACTTTATGACATTGGTATCCGTGGTGTAGCTCATAAGTGGTTTGCTTCCTTTCTCAGCAATCGTTCACAGTACATCGAAATAGAAAATGTAGATCAAGATTCAAAAACGATAAAATGTGTCAGGTCGAGGGCCCAGCCGGTGCGGGATTCTATACCTCAGGGTTCCGTACTCGGATGTGTCCTCTTCCTTATTTACATCAAGGACCTCCCCAAGATTATTGATGAGCTTTGTGTGATGTTTGCCGACGATTTTTCCTTTGTGTTCCCCTATATCAATAGTACCAAACTTAATTAAAGAATCGACATAATTATAAATAAAGTAAAACAATGGCTAAGCGATCATAATTTAGAAGTCAATTTCAAAAAAAATAAACTAATACAATTCAGACCACGACAAAAACATGAACTAGAGATAAATTATACATATAATCAAACAAAATTAGAATGTATTCAAAATTTTTCTTTGCTAGGTATAACTATAGATCCGAATGTTAATTTTAAATCACATATTCAAAAAAATAAGTTAAAATTATCACAATTTATATATGCTTTAAGAGAATTAAAAAAATTACAAATTTAAAAACGGCAGTGACAGCCTATCACGGCTACGCTCAAGCGTGGCTGAACTACGGTGTCATACTATGGGGCAACAGTGTAGAATAACACGAACTTATTATTTTTCAAAAAAAATGTATACGCGTACTTACAAATATCAAAAAAAGAGAAAGCTGCAAACTTCACTTTAAAAGATTGATTAAAACTACTTTTACGGATTTTATCGCGTTTTATTTATATTAATTTTAATACCAGACGTTTCGGGTGCTTTCCAGCACCCATGGTCATGGGGGACTGAGATGACTGACGTCCCGATGTCAAAGTTAACCCGGAGTACCTTCAGCTTTTTAATTATTGTCTTTGGTCCGATCTACGCAGAATGAACTAACTATATTTTGAAGTCTTGCAGTGGTATGCTTGGGTTTAGTTTTAATTTTATTAATTATAGGATCCCAAGCAGGTGTAGTACCCAGCCTCCTTCTCTATTGAAATTAGGATGTTTTTTTAATTTCAATAGCCTCACGTATCATCCTTGGTAGAAATCGATGTTCTTTCGCGAGGATTTGTGGTCTATCAAATCTGATGTAATGTTTGGGGCCATCTAGAATATGATCGCAAACTGCAGACTTCCCGGAACGTTGATGCTTCACGTCAGCTATGTGTTCTTTTACGCGGGTTCTAATTGATCTCTTTGTTTGCCCTATATATGAGAGACCACAATCACAATCTTAAGAGGCTGGGTACTACCACCTGCTTGGTATCCTATAATTAATAAAATTAAAACTAAACCCAAGCATACCACTGCAAGACTTCAAAATACAGTTAGTTCATTCTGCGTAGATCGAACCAAAGACAATAATTAAAAAGCTGAAGGTACTCCGGGTTAACTTTGACATCGGGACGTCAGTCACCTCATTCCCCCGTGACCATGGGTGCTGGAAAGCACCCGAAACGTCGGGTATTAAAATTAATATAAATAAAACGCGATAAAATCCGTAAAAGTAGTATTAATCAATGTATAGTGTTCGCGTAAATATAAGAAATATTCACTTTCAAAGTATCAAAATTCTAACATTACCGTGCCTATGTAAAAGATGTGTGTGCCGAGTTAATAAAAACCGGCGGCGGCGCGCCTTCAATATTACCTAAGCGGCGGCGTGACGCCGGCAGCGTGAACATTTTATCTTATTTTCATTTAGTAACTGTAAATTTAGGTGATATTTTAAAAACAACCCGGTTTTTGAAAACTTACTTTATTTAAAATCAAAATCAAGCAAGGATCACGTCTTTGACATCTTTTTTGCATTGCTTGTAATTGTCATGGACAAATATTATTTTATTTCGTCTCCGGGGGCTCAGGCGAGATCTCTTTGCAGTAATTACGAACCCTGCAATAGAAAACACTCGTTCACTCGGAGTGCTTGTTGCAGGAATGCATAATACTGCCTGTGCTAAGGATGACAACCATGGGTAAGTATTTCTACTTTTCTTCCAGTAACCCAGGAGATCGCCATCTTTGAGCTCTGCGTGATGCTAAGAAAGACGCAGGTGTCTTCCCTTTGGCTTCGAGGTATGTGTTTATTTCTTTAAGCCTCATAAAATGGCAGTCTAGCAAAGCTGCAGTGACAAGTGTTTCTGTTGTCGAGAACCTTTTATCGAAGTTGGCCAACATATTATTTTTCAAAGCCAACATGATCAATGTTTCATTATCTGGAATTGAATTAAGCACTTCCTTTAACTCCGTTTTGAAAACAAGTCCGAGATTAATAGTGCATCTTTTTTGAGATGATAAAACCTCCACCACTTCTCGAAACTTGCAAAAAAACTTTATCAAATCTTCAAGCAAATTTCATTGCATTTGCACAATTTTGAGGTCGTCTTGGCCGATTCTTCTCACAATATTGTTAATGGGATTTCTGTTACAACAATGTGCCAAATTTTCAATCATCTCTAGGACACTATGCCAACGTGTGGGTGTAGACGTTTTAAAGCTAGGAACATTTGACAAATTTCCGAAAAGAGAACGATCTTCTTCGACTTTGTTTTCATTCCCGCAAATAGAATCATATTCATCGTCTTCAACAATTTGAGCTGCTGTTTCTATAATATTTAAAAACTTCTTTTGTTCGTTATCTGCGTCTTTCTCTAAATCTTGTAATCGGTATCTTACTGCTTTTACTATCTTTTTGCATTTAACAACTAAGCTTAAAATTTCTGCAGTTTTTTTATCTCATCTACAATGACAAGATTGTGATCAATATTCGCCAATGTAAGTGCCCGTTTTACATTAGTTCCTGCGTCGGTTACACTGCAAAGCTTCTTGTCAGTGATTGCAAACTCTTTTTTTGTTTCGTTTACTGCTTTCTGTATCTTTTCTCCACTCTTAACACCTTCCATTAGTTCAGTTTTAAGCGTGAAAGTTTTCAGCTCAAAGTCTGAAATAAAAAGAAAAGGATTAGCAGAACTAAGCAGGAGAAAGCAAAACATATAATTCAATAATAAATAAATTAGGTTAAGGTAGAGTATGGTAGGATTGAAAGAAGTTATACATAAATTCGTTAGGAAAGGTTATGCCGTGAAATAATATGTACTTTAGTGAATAAAAGTGTCATAGTATTTACCGTCAGTCAGGTAGTGCAATGTAAAAGTAATATAATTGAGACGTCTATAGCTGTCTGTCCACAAACGGAAAGTGATTGCTAGTTGAAATGCATTATCCGTTAATATGTGGATCTTTATGTTGTGAAGCACACTTTCGTAAACATCGTCTAATCCAGCTCGACTGACTGAATCACGTGAGGGTATCATGTCTGAAGTGGTATTAATTATTCCATATTTCCGAAACACAAACATGAATAAATGAATATTAATTGTAGCTATTTATTAATTATTAACTATTAAGAGTAAGCTAGGTTAATAAAACATGATTCTGTCAAATGTTAAAAAGCATACACAACCTTAAAAAAATCATTTATATCAATTTTTCAATCATTCCTTCGTCAGCAACTGAATCAAATGGCATCAAAGACTTGCACATCCACAATGATAAATCTCTCGTCAATAGTCATTTGTCAATCGAATTGAATTGAATTGAATCAAATTGTCAGAACGGCGGTCAACATTGAAAAAATCTTTAATATTTGTTTTTGCCCTATCTGAGTCTATTTCTGTTCGAATTTTGTGCTCATCGCGAAGATGTCGCATTAAGTTGCCAGTGGAACAAAGCCACAAGAATTTCACACAAAAATATAGCCAGCAATAAAATCAAATACCCATAACCCGTCTCATGTAGATTATAGGTAGGTAGGTAACTATTATTTTTTGGATTTTCTTTTATACAACAATTATTTACTTAGGTATAACATTATTTTGTTAGAGGAAGTGTTATGATTCTTTTCTTATTTCAGTATTGTGTTTATAAAGTGTGTCAATATAAATTCGTTTCTCGACTCCTACTCATAACCATAACCACAAGACTAATAGGTATCTACTTACGATCCGAACGAAAAGGTAGGTATCACCACACTCATCTTTCTTCGAAGTTAGACAAATACTGCAAAACACCAGGTCTTCTAAAACTTTTTTCTTCTTGTTGACGTTCTCATCGGCATCGTGGAGAACAAGATCGCCGAAATATATCCAACACGTGCTGCTTTTCGATTTAGAAATGAACAAAACACTCACTGAGAATCTCTTAAGTTTACATTTCTCTATATCAGACTTCAATGCCATTATATTATTGATTTAAGTACGTAAAATTTAACTAAACTGCGAATATGCGACGCCAGAAATGCAAAATATTTTTCCGCGGTTTATCTGAGCTAAGCTACGACGCGAGTGTGCTGCCGTGCCGTGCCGTGCTAGCTGGCCAGCAGGCCCTCCTCCCTGCGCCGCCCGTACGGCCCGCGTTTCTCTCTCGGCGCGAAATTTTGAACTGTCGGCGGCGGCGGCGGCGCGCTACGGCTAGGTGGCGGCGGCGAGCCGCAGCGGCGCGCACTTATACTATATATATTAGAAATATGTAAATTTGTAAAAAGACACCCAAGTTTTTACACCAAAATCATAGACGCGCCCCGACACAACGTACCTCGCTATAAGAATAACCTTTTGCAACCAAAATCTAAATTAAAATTACACAGTACAGGTCCTTACTCGATGTCAATAAAAATTTATAATAAATTGCCGGAATACATAAAATCCGAAACAAATATTAATAAATTCATAAGATCTTTAAAAGAGATACTTATTAAAAAAAGTTATTATTCAATTAATGAATACATTGAGGAAAATAATTTTTAAGTGTCTGCCCCTCTTCTTCGTTCATTGCTATGCCTTTCAAGGTGCACGTGATTGTTAGAACTTGCATGTTTTGTTTAGTCTCAAGTCACATGTAACGCAATTTGTGAATAAATGAATAAATAAATATGAGACTCCAAGCCAAAGCATGAGTGAGACTCAATTCTTTTTTGCACCGCAATGGCAGTTTGCCGCATCCAAGCTTCTCACGACTGGACGTGACAATATACCAGCCTGGAGAAAAAGAATTGAGAACCGTATCGCAAAAGGAGGGGCCCTCTTCGGCATACTGACAAGATTCAGTACTAGTAAAATATCAGTATGTCCCAGCTGGATATCACGCAGAAACTAACCAACGCATAGATGACCTGAAGCAAGGAATCGGTGCTCGGGGGAAATGGATAACCAGTGGTTAAGGCAGTTCAACCAGAATCGTCTCTTCCAGAGCAATCATAAGAGGCTTAATAAATCATTGGTGCTACCAATGGTATGTGGAACGCGCCCAGTACCGAATCAGGCCGGTACTGTCTGGCGTGGCATGTGGTCAGAGCCCTTAAACCACAGCGTTTGTACGGAAGCTGTGGCAATGTAGTGTGCGAGTTTTGTTACTACATTAACTACTGCCTGCAGTGTTCGCCGATGCAGTAATCACGTGTTGCAATAATATCTTTCTACATTTTCTTGTTACATAGAAGTGAAATTCACCTAACGAGAAAACTATTGTGCTACCTTTCCGTGAACCAGTGAAAATATGTTAGCTGGATTAGGTTTAGTAATTTATAAATAAGTAGATATTTATTTTATCCGACTGCCTCAGATGGAGGGTAATGTTTTTTTTAATTGTATGCGTGCTTGTATGTATGATTATGTGTTTGTATGTACGTCAATAAGGGCTTCCACAATGCTTTCTGCTACCAGAGCAGCTCCACATTGTAATAAGATGAAATATTTGACGAATTCGTCAAATATTTTATCTTATTCCAATTTGGTTATTTATTTTTTTAGCGAAAGAGTGAGATAAATAATTTTGGTTTATTATCTCACTTTTTCGCCCTCATGGCCATCAGACTCTAGAACGTCATACCTTTTGACATTAAAAAAGCTCCCAACAAATTCGTCTTTAAAAATCAAGTCCGTAAGTATATGATTAAATCGTTGCAAGTTTGAATTAACTCAGCTCTTTTTTTTCGTATATATTTCATATTTGTTCTGACATAGATAATATTTCTACGAACCTATTGTGTATATATATATATATATATATATATATTTATCCTCTCTATTTGACTATTACTGCACCGCCTCCATAATATCTATCTCTGTTTAGCCTAATGCTTGACTGGGAGAGAACGCCCTATGGCATTAAGTCCGCCATATGTACTTTGTTGTGCATGAAAGCATAAATAAATAAATAAATTCGTGGCGAGGAAGTAAAATTGTTAGGAAAGTGTTAAGATTAATGTTTGTTTGTGATATTAAATTGAAATGAATAAGCCAAGCCACAGATATTCCTAAGAGTAAAAGCAGCACACCACTGAGGCATTATTTAGTGTGCATATATTCACAAGAAATTAAAAAACTTACAATTGATACTTGTACGTATTGACTATGTTCTGATGTGAGTTTTCAACTTTCCTATGTTTTCTATGTGTGGCAGATAGCTTTACCTCAATCCCAAAGTTGGGAGTCTATTTGTCTTCTATAAATGTTCCGCTAACCGAATGTTTAGAACTAGACATCTGGGTAGCAGCAGATTATCAGCCCTAATTTTTTGGCACGTTCTGTAGCCTAAACGCCTTGATGGATTTTAACTTAAAAGGTGTCGATAGTTTCATCGTTGTTGTGAAAGTAACTTATAGTATAATATTTAAATTCTGACTTTATTAATTCTTACAAAATTTAATTTTGGGTTTTTAAATGATACCCATACTTAGATAACGTCAAGTTATTTAATTTTTTGTATTATGCTGTTTGTATTAATAGTGTATTATAATACCTGTGGTAATAATTATATAATCAACATTTATGTAATAATAATAATAATACAATACTTTTACTTATGATAATAAAATAACAATTTGTACTCATAATTATCATATAAAATTAATTTATATTTAATAACTACTGTTGTTAAGAAATAAATTTTAATTTAATATTTGCACATCAAAATTATAGAATGTACAGATCTTTTATGTACTCTATCAACACCTTATTGTGAATACCTACATTCAAAGCAAATAAATAAATATTATATATGTTATTAAATTAATTATTAATATTATTATATTACATTATGAAACTTTTTACGTTCAAATTTTTATAAATAACTGTTTTAACCATTGGGCTTGTACATATAATTACTCGAAATAAAAAACGTGTAACCCAAATACTATTTAATACACTGCATATTAGTTACGCCCAGGAAATTATTACAAAATATATAGTTTAATTAAAACCATAAAGAAGTAAACATGGGTATCTAGAATTTATGCACAATAGCGAAGGTAACGAGCAAGGGTAATCCGAAACTATCTGTACGTAAATTTTGATTAAGCCCAGTTGATGTGGAATTCATAACATAAATTGTGGTAAACAATTGTCGTGTCAATGGTCTCTTAGAATTATATTGCAGTAGATTCATGTGTGACCGTACATATTGTAGGTATGTCCACTACCCCATATCACCACGTAGGTGTCTTAAGAGACGACAGATGGAGCCAAGCCAGGAGTTGATGTACAACGTCTTCCTAAGAACGGCGAAATAATTAAATATTGTAAATATCCCCACTATGAGGTAGTCTAATCTATAGGGGACCTATTTTCATGTTCACTAACCAATGTTCAGCAGTGAACTTTTCATAAGCTGTAACGCTAACGGTAACGGCAGAGTCACGTGGTAGCGGCGTGAGAGATTCCATCACGGAATTTCGCCCAGAATTTTGGCAATGTTAGAAAATCTTGAGGTGTTTTATAGACTTTCGTGTAACAGTTTCGTTACCACAGACAATACATTTTTTTTAAATTGATAAAAATTAATTAAAACTACTTTTACTGATTTTATCGCCCACCCAACAGTTACTCACCTTGCTGTGCACTTAGAAAATGGAGAGCGTGTATATTTCACCGAAAGAAACTTCCAAGAAAGAATTGCATCACCGCCAAAAACTACACTAACAGTCTTCTTTCAACTTTGTCAAACCGACCCCTTTGCAAAAACGTTATTATATTCTGAAGTCCCCCGCTATTATACTTGGAACACATCTAGGAAGGAGTGGAAATGCCGTGTTCAAGGCGCGCCTGTTGCAAATTGGCCCTGTGTAAAGTCATCAGATGCCCTTGCTCGTGTGTATACCATCCATGTAACTAATTTTGAATTTTTTTGTTTACAATTGCTGTTTCACCATGTTCGGGGTCCTACAGGATATAAAGGCCTTAACACTATCAAGAAAACTGCATCTCTGACGAATCAATTTAGCTCAGTTTCTTTTCAAAAGTCAGCATCCCTGATGGAT